TTAATATTTTATAAAATAATATAATTACAATAAATATTTATAAATAGGTAAAATTGCATAAAATTGAAGAAAACTATAAACATGTGAAAAATATACATAGATGTGCTTCATCCCCACAAAAACTAGTCAAAACAATCAATTATACGTTACTTACAAGCACAATTAACTTGGGTTGAAAAGAATAAAGTTTTCTACATAGAGGAACAAAAAGGATGACTAACCTGCAATTTGAACTTGCTGATATGATGGAAAATGTAGTTCTCTTTTTATTTGCAAAAAAAAAAATTAAAAAAAATTTGATTGTTCGTTGCTTTTGGGAGATAATAGCAGACTAGCGGGCAAAATAAAGAATTAGAAAAAACCATAAATTAGGACTTCTATCAATAAAAAGGGTCTTGACTTTTAAATTTAATATGTCCGTTCCTTTTTAAAATTTTTGAGTAATTATAAGTTGATTTTTGAGAATTTGGGTATTATATGAAGGACTTATTCAGTAAATTTTGTTTTAATTTGAAAAAGTCTTTGGGACTTACGCCTCACTACAAAAATGCACCTCAAAACTCGAATTGCTGGGCGTACGCCTCTTAAGACTTTAGTCTCATACCATCGCCTCGGGACATTTTTGGTGCGCCTCGCCCTAGGGTTCGCCCCGAAAATATCTTTTAAAACACTGGTACGGATTAATAATGCAGAGATTGTAACGTAGAGATTTGCAATGTAAGAATTTTTTTTTGGATCTTTTGTTCGATACATGAAGGGGAGCCTTGAAGCAACGGTAAAATTATCTCTATGTGATCTATATGTCATGGTTCGAGCCGTGAAAGCAGCCACTAATGCTTGCATTAGGATAGACTGTCTACATCACACCCCTTGGAGTATGTCCCTTTAATACGAGATACTTTATGCACCAGACTGCCTTTTTATCTTTAGTTCTATATATCACAAATCATTTGGTGCACAGACTACTTCTATAGAAATTTGACTGTTATGCGATAAATAATAATATAGGGAATATAATGTGGAGATTCTTATTCTATTAATAATAATAATACAAATCGTATTAGTTATGTGAAATTTTAATGCCGAAATTATTTTCCTTGTTTGATAAGGACATCTATTATTTATTTAAGCAAACTCATAGCCCATTGCATATTGTGCAACATTAGTTGTTTTATCACGTGAAAGAAGCTAAAACCCCATGAATTAAGCCGAACTCCAAGTCCCAAGTCCAATTTCCACACTTATATATATCAACCCCATCAACTCCCGTTCCTACCATAACTACTACTTCAGTCTAAAGACATAAGAAAAAAAGAAAAACATTTGTCATCTCCAGCTTGAGTAGTAGCAAAGATGGACAGGAGAAACTTGTGCCTAATAGTAGCTCTCCTCCTCTTATCCATCTTTTCACAAGCCACCATTGCTCAAACCGAAGGCGACGGCACGCAGGAAAATGCAGTCACTGAAAATCCTGATTATGTTGTGTTGGATCCATTGCCAGGTACAGGACAAGAACGAGCTTTCTGCACCGTTCCGGGAGTTTGCTACTACAGAACTCTTACCTGCCCAACAGAGTGCCCACAAAGGAAGCCTAAACAGAACAAAAAGCAGAAAGGATGCTATATTGATTGCACCAACAAGTGTGAAACAACTTGCAAGTGTAAGCATGCTCATTTACTATTACACCTCTTGCAATGTTCACATATACATATAAATGGATTTAAGATATATACACTGACAATATAGCGATCGTGTACACTATCAGTGAGTCTTAACCTGTGATAGCATGCTAGTTATCATTTTTACCAGGTTATCAGTTAATACTTATCGTAAAGATTCACCTGTAATTACCTTATAAGTGACCTGATTGTGTATATACTTTTTACACCGTCAATGCATGAAACTTAAAGTCTATCTAAAAAAAATTATGAAACAAAAGTAGTACACTGTAGTATGACAATATTTTCTTGTACCTCTAAATGAACTCAAAGTTTTGTTCCTTTTCTCCTTCTTTTGACAGGGAGACTACCTAGGTGTGATGGTTATGGTGCTCTATGCTATGATCCAAGATTTGTGGGTGGCGATGGGGTGATGTTCTACTTCCATGGAGCAAAGGATACTGACTTTGCCATTGTCTCAGATGACAACCTCCACATTAATGCACACCTAATTGGGATTCGACCAGACGGAAGGAAGCGCGACTTTACATGGGTTCAAGCATTGTCTGTCATGTTTGACGCCCATACACTAGTCCTAGGAGCAAAGAAAGTGTCACACTGGGATGACAAGATTGATGCTCTTATCGTGCATTGGAACGGTGAGACAGTTAATGTCCCGACAGATGGAGATGCTGAATGGAGTGTTAAAACTGCT